TGTATATATATATATATATATATATATATATATACACACACACACACACACACACATATATATATATATATATATAAAGTGATCACTCAACACTGGTTTGTAATTTCAATGATATTCCACACGTAAGACAAGTTTTACCATTTTTCTGGAAATGCTAGAAATCTGAGAAGATACTTTGGTTCTTAAAAAAGGTTAACTTCAATGAAGAAAGAGAAAAATTGGTAGAAATTAAAATTAAAGAAAGAATACTAAAAAACAAAATATTATATTTGTTGTAAAAAAAAGAAAGTCAAGACACACTAAGATGGTACCTTGGCCCATGGGCACTGCTGCAAGGCTCGATAGAAAATAACTTCCGCTCTCTGATAGTTTTGTCGTTCTACCTAGAGAAAACATACAGTTAAATTAAATGACGGGTAGAATTTAGCATACATCTTACTTGAAAAATCATTTTAAGTACCATAACTAATCAACTGAGAATTCTGGGTTTTAAAATACAAGCATTTTCACATTTTGTTACTAACGGTGTCTTACAAAAAAATACAATACAGTTAAATCACTGATATGACCTTGCTAAATGTCAATCCCAGAATCATATTTTTGTACTTTACCAAAATAATCTAACAGAAATTAACTTAAAGAAAATATTTTCACTGTTCCTCTTAACACTTCAAAGTGTTATTCCTAAATCATTTGACGTGTAAAGATTTCATTTTGCAACCAAATCAAGTTTCAAGCACCATTACATGGTTTGCATCACAAGAATAATGTCCAGTGAATTATGTCCAGTGCCAGACTTAAGTAGAACCATTACAACCAACATAGAAGTTTTTAAAATTTGCAGACTGGAAACTTTGGCTTACACTGTCACATACAAATACAAACTGATAACCAAAGAGAACACATACAACAATTAATAACTGACTTAACAATAGTAATGTCATGTGTTATCACATGCACATGAAAAGGGATTAGAATGACTAAACAACAGAAAATCACAAGCTATCAAAATACACAAAAATAAAAATAATAATAATAATAATTACAGAGGCCAAGAATTATTCCTGTTTGTCTGTTAACTATTACCTTTTGCTAAGAGTTTAATGTTAAGTGGTGTTTTATCTATTGTACCATGTTTCATTAGACTGGACTGGTGAGTGGAAAATAATATTTAACATTTAAATAACAGTCAGGGGGAGGGGGATATTCGTAAACCTCATTAGTGGACTGTATGATCTGATTTTCCTGCTACTTGAGAGGCCTCATGCTTGCATAGGCCAACACCAATTATAACAAACTTTTAATGTAACATATTAGAACTACAGATAACATTTTTGTCATCTTATTCATAATTTTCAAATTCCATGGCATCAAAAATATTACTACACCAAAATAATATAATATTTTAGCTAAATTACACAAGCTCTATCCAACTAGAATTTAAATAATTTTCACAAAAACACAGTTTTTTTTTTACCTGTGGTGACTGTCTATAAAGTGCTGAACAGTGTTCTTATTCTATGAAACCATTTTTTGTTAGGTAAGAAATGTACAAATAATAACAGTAATAAACAATTAACGTACATGAACTGTGGTTCAAAACTGGACCTTAAGAAATAAATTTAAAAGTGTAAAAACAATTACTACATAGATATAGTACACCCATTTACCTCAAACTTTAAGTACCACCTCCACAACCCAACACAATGACGTGAAGGTGATTCATCAAGTGCCCTTTCAAACAGAGATCTTATTCTCCATGTAACTCCACAGTCTGGAACTGAAGGCACTACTGATCCTACAATTAAAAGAAACACGACTTACTTTAGCCTAGAATAATATAAACTTGTATATAGTACATCTCACAAATTATTAAACTTTTGGTACTGTTTGAGAAATCACACTTAAGTTAGATAAATATCTTAAATAAAAAAATAAATTAAGAAACACTGAGAATTTTGTGAATCAATGGCAGATACTTTGCATTACATACGTCACTAACAACAAAGAAAAGATTCGTGAACTGATTATCTACTAAACAGACTTCTATTTGCTTGAAATAATTACACATAAGTCAATTATTTTTAACTTATGGAATGTCAAGAGAGCAATTATGCACATTAATAAAACTGCAACAGTACTTTCAATCTTTACATGAAAGAGAAGACTGACAGATTTTGGTGGAGGAAAATCTTTGGTTTTTATTTTCCAAGTTTCAAAATCCACTTTACTTACATCTGAAGCTAGAATTTACTAATAAAATGACATCATACTTCTGAAAATCAATAGTTAAAAATGGTTAAAACATCTGTTAATTCCTCAAGAACCCAGTCCACCAAAAGAAATGTGTCTAACATGTAACCTTAATATCCTAAACAGTTTATTCTGATAACAATAATATGGCAATGAAGTATCTATATTTCCATGACATCTGGCAAGAAAGTTATCACAAGTACTTTCTTTTCATGTAAAATGTGTCCTTAATTGTAAAATGACTGCTCTTTGTGGCTTCTCTCGTTTTCTTTAGAATAGCAGTCTTGTCAACATCATAATATTAAAATAAGATGGTAGTTAGAAGGGAGACTTTTCTCATGATAAAAGATAACCAAACGTGCTTACCTGATATGTTCTTATCATTGCATGCTGATTCAATTTCCTTAGAGATTTTTTCATGCCTCTTGTGTTCTGCATACACTGCAAACATCCAAATTATTGGTGAAGTCTTGTCTGGGAACTTCAATATATCATTGAAGAACCTAAATACATAATTGAAAATGCTTTGTCTGACCATATCAGTTATGGGAACATTAACAAATATTTAAGGATTCTAATAAAGTTAGACACCATAATCCAAAACAATCTTTCAAATTATTTTATCAAGATACAATTGAAAAAAATATCTATGGATATAAGGCTATATATATAAAAAAAGAAACTTGTACATAACAAAATAACCATAATCTCTTACAGGGAATTTGTAATATTGTTTAATGACTTAGCTTGCTCTGATAAGAAGTTAATATTAATTCATTGTAACTCAAGACCTAAGAACAGATTATTAACCAAAATTTTGTTACATTTATCCATAGTGATACGCTACTGTATGTAATGATCCAGGTAATAATTTGGTTTTGTGACTCCACAAAGACCACGACACAGATTACTCGACCAACACATGACACAATTATCTTTAATAATCCACCAATATATGCAATTTTTCTGGGTATTACTTTGTCTAGCTTGTTCTGCTGAACAAACTCTAAATGAATAAGGATATCACTGTATGTAATGTATCCCATTCATCTTACTGGTCTAATGCATCCACTTTGTTTGGAGAAGTACACTATGAACAGGTTAAGACATGGATCAAGAAGGTATCTTTCTAGGCAAAGTATGAGCATGGAGGTGGGACAGAAGGAGGCTCACAAAGTAAAATAGAGTCATTATGATATACAAGCAAAAAAAGATAGAAAGTCACAAACCTGAATTATGAGCATAACAAAAAGAAAAAAATGAATTACCTGTTCCTCAATGAGAGGGGAAGAGCCAGAAGGAAAAACTGGAGGTGGAAGAGCTAGCACAAATTGTCAACAAGCAAGGTAGGCTCCAAAGAAGGTAAACAGTTGTCAACAAGAAAGGTAGGCTCCACAGAAGGTAAACAGTTGTCAACAAGAAAGATAGGCTCCACAGAAGGTAAACAGTTTCAACAAGAAAGGTAGGCTCCACAGAAGGTAAACAGTTGTCAACAAGAAAAGGTAGGCTCCACAGAAGGTAAACAGTTGTCAACAAGAAAGGTAGGCTCCACAGAAGGTAAACAGTTGTCAACAAGAAAGGTAGGCTCCACAGAAGGTAAACAGTTGTCAACAAGAAAGGTAGGCTCCACAGAAGGTAAACAGAACAATGTGTTACCTAAAATGAACAAATCTACAGAAGGGAACCAATCATCTTATCTAAAATAGTGGTAACACCATGGATGAAAAACATCAGCAATGAACATGTTGTCCTCCCGTGGTTCATCACCATTCAATAAGATTGTGGTAATTTAATATTTCCAAAATATGTTACACACCAGCCATTAGCTTCATGAACAGATAAAATGCCTCCAGTTGCTGCTGACTCGGGTGAAAAGAAATGCCTGAAGAGGAATATCTGGGCCTCAGAACTTTTTTCTATTCTTTGATAGATTGTTGAGGCAGAGTATTCATGACAAGTAAACTGGATGTATGGCAACTGCCTGTTGCAAAAAACACAAGTGAAGATGAAAGATGGAAGGCTTTTGACACAGTTTCCTCTTCATTTGTTTTTTCTATTAAGTTGTTGTCTGAAGTAGCACAAAGAAGAAAAGTGTTGGATAGAGAAAATGAAGTTGTAATCAGGTGGATGAAAAGAAAGCATAAGAGGACAAAAGTAATGTAGGACCAAATAAAGAAAGGCAGTCGATCAAAGCAATTAGCAACTAAAAAAAAACAACATTTCTGAAGTTCCTATTGTACAAGTTTATAAAAAAACAATCTTGCTTTTAATATTCATGAGAATCTATTTCATGGTCAGGTATCTTTATAAACAAATCACTATTTAAAGATTTCTTCTAACCTCCTTAGTCTTCCTGTCACTAGTGAGTTTGTCTCCATATTTACCAAGCCTGCAAGAAACTGGGAGTTAGATGGAAAAGCTGTAAGTGCTTCAGTTAAATGTGATCTCAGAGATTTGAGAGGAACTAGAGGCCGCTGACTATCATAGGCTATTAGATTTATATATACTTCGTATAAATTCTCCTTAAGTAGTTCAGACCTACATATAAAGATAAATGTACATAAATTAGAAATCAAAACTGTTTTTACTCAATAATAACATAGTTCATTACTCTTTTCATTCTTTTTTCAAAGTCTGGAAAAACACATTCATTTAATTTAAAACCTTCCTCTTAAAAATCCTTTAATACTACAGGTATTAGATTCAGATTGCTTATATTCTACATTACAGTAAGGCTACTTCTTTGGATGATAGTCGTGATGATTTTATCTTCAATTCAAATTTGGGGCAGACTTTTTTTCTATATACTAATTATTTATTAAGAAACTTGGAAAATAATATTCATTTTTTTTTTTTACAAACAAAAAATAACCAACAATGTAGCAAGCTATAACAACCCCATCAAAACTTACTACAAATTTCTTTGAAAACTATGCTGTTCAAGTAGCCTCACAGTTATAAGATTACAACTAAAACTACACACAGTTTGTCACGTTTCTTGTATTATTTCCAGCATAAGCAATTGCCCATACTTATACAAACAACTAAAAAAATAAATTTCTTTCAATAAAAAATTTAAACCAGTAGTGTATGTTGTGAGAAACAATTCAAAGCTATAAGTTGATTGGGAGGAAGTTACATTATCACACAGAATTATATCTTTAGGTTTAAATTAAATATTCTATGTTCTATCAGGCTAACCAAGTGTATTAATTTTTACATTAATTAATTACACTAATGGAAATTTCAAATCAGGTATACCTGTGATATACTGAAAGCCTTTCCTTGCTAAGTTGCTTTGGTGTCAACAATCAACAACCATGTGATTGAAAGTTCTAAATGTGCTTGATCCAATGCAGAGCATGCATCAACTTACCCATCATTCTCCACTCTTCACCTTCCACGTGACTTATTACACGTGTCAGGATATCTCGCAAACTCTGTTTTCTCACCATAATTCAGATTTTCTTGATGACAGTTTTGCTGTTAACTGCATTCACTATATCTGCTTTGAGGCCTTACTTGCATAGTCTGTCTCCAGCATGCAGGTAGACCTTGTGGTGGCATTGTTGGTCTTCATTGACCAAAGTTATTCAGGCCATTATTTAGGAGTTGCCTGCTGGTGTTCTTGACCAACATGCCTACCTTTTCTCATGATGATATGAGAGAGAAAAAAATTAAAATTAAAAAATCAATCCTTTGCTCAGACCTATTCACTCTCACTGCTGATGATCACGATTTATTAGCTACCTTTATTTGTGAAGAAGCTCCTGCTAGACTAATCTCCCTGTTATCTTCTCAAATGTTTTATTTTTCAATCCCTCATCCACCCTTGTCTATTTCTCATTGAAGTCAGCTATTATTACTCCTCCCCATTGACCCACTCAATGACTCTTCTGTTATCTCCCATCTGGTCTGTAGGGAGAGGTGGTGAGGGGGTCACCTTGAACAACTGATTTATCTGTGAGACCCTTGGTTTTGTGATCCTTGGACTTGACAGCTCCTTCAATCTGTTCTTAGTATCTTTTTCTCTTCTTTCCAATTCATTTACTCACAAATTCCGAATCAGGAAGTACCAAGTTTCCTTCAGAAAGAAGGAAGCTAAAAACCTACCTCTTTGTGGTTCCAAAGAAATCTGGAGTTGGAGATCTGTTTCAATTCATCTTTTCCTGGAGATACCCCATTTTCTATATGAACACAAGATTGTTATGAAAGTTTCTTAGATTCAACCAATGAATGATGTTGGTGGATATACAAGATGCTTATCTTTATACCCCTATTCATTCATCATCCTATCTTCTTTTTCTGCCATCAGGGGTAGTTTATCAGTCCACTGCATTTCCTTTTGGCTTAGCTTCAGCTCATTTTTTCTTATCAGTATAGTTTTTCTAGTTTTCTTCATTCATTTAACATCTACTTTTATATTTACAGCGATATTTGACTTATTCTGACCCTTTCATCCATTCAGTATCTTTCACGCACTCAATTGACCACCCAGCTGACTATATCTCCGGGGTAGCTCATCCACAACTCCACATCTCATTTAGTACCAACACAGTATTTGGCACATCTGGGATTTTGGATCAACACAGTTCAAGAAACACTTGAAACACAAGTCTTGTTTTCATATTATTCTGTTTTCCACACTTACTACCAAATACATCCTTTTTACTTTTGAAAAGACAGCTTCACATAGTCATTCCCTTGAGGTACACTCACATACAACACCTTCAGTGGGATGTTGCTTCTCAGTAGCATTTATCTTCAGACTCATTATCTTAGGGAATTTCTCTCTCTCTGCCACTACTGTCGATTACCTTTGAATTTGGCTTTACTGACTTTATATTATTATTGCAGTTTCCATTTTTCTTCCACCTACTATAGATCTGCATGATTTCAGAGCTGTCTTTCTTGTAATCTAGGGTGCTGTCTTGAAGGAACATTGTGTTTTGGGTTCTTGGTCTCCTCAGGAATCAGAATTTAACATCAATATTTTGGACCTTTGGGCAGTTCAGCATGCTTCTCAAAAGCTTCCTACCCTTGCTACATCACTACTGTGTTTTAGTTCACACAAACTTTTTAACAGTGGTGGTGTGTATCAATAATCATGAAGAAATTAAATTTTGCAGCCTGTCCATTCACATCATACCTATTTAGAGCTTGTCATGTGACATGTGTTATGAACATTCTTATGTATTATATTTACAGAGATCATTGGCTTCTTCCTATAGAGTGGACCTTTCACCCTTCAGCTTTTCAATGGTTATGCAATGCCATGGTCATAATTTTTTTCCACTATTATTGGTTTACAGTTCCAGACCCAGATTCTTCAGCAATAGAAGCTTTAAACCTGTCTTGAGAGATTATATTACTCTATGCCAACCCTCCTCTTTGACTTCTACCTGAAGGCATCTTTTACATCAGCCTCAGACATCTATCTTCCGCATTGATATTCATCATCCAGAGATTTGGAGCTGACTATTATGCAATCAGTTATCAAAGAAGACCAAATATTTTCTCAAGTAACTACTGTTATAATATTCTTGCTAATGTTCATTCCTGGCCACCTATCAATCTTGCTGGATGTTATAGCCTTAGAAATTTCTTCTTGCCTTTTTTTTTCTAATTCCTCAACACATTACCTCATTCTTCTTGTTCTTATTTCATCATCATGGCTTATGTCAATAAGTTTGGTAACATAATAATTGAAGTTTTAGTACTATATATTACTCAATTTCTTAATTTAAAAGCAAATATAAAAAAACACAGATAAACATTCATTTTTGTATGTCACGTGGTATGTTGAATGCAGCATTGGTTCAAATTAAACGTTTGTAATGTCAAAATACTAAGTCTATAGTTTCATATGAATTAGGAACTCAAATTATCGATATTCACAAGCTAGAATATAAAATATGAGCCTCTTATCTTTTCAATTTGCCAAGATATTGCTCACGAAATAAATCAAACACAGTAGCACCCCACCCACCTCTTTCCATTTTTGGAAACACTGTCTTATATACACTTACTTCTATATATGACATGAATAACCAATCAGAAGCTCAGAATGTCCCCCTAGTGACTTTCTCAGCCATTTTAACAGACTTGGCACCATTTCTTTCTTTTGAACCAATATTTCAACAAGATAGGGTGTGTCTTTGGTCTGCTCAAAATTTCATATTTTTTTAGACTAAAATACAGCTTAGTTACTTAGCTTGATAAATTATAGTGGAATTTTATGGTATTAATGTAGTAATTTATGTTTTTTTAGTTATTCAAAGGTATATATAAAACTTAAAAAAATGATTTTGTTTCAAGCAGCAACCAAGTACAAAGGTCGTAACTAAAAGATATAATGGTTTGCTTTACGTCTTTAGTTACTGTTCTATATTTTAAGAAAAATAAGTTTAAGAACTTATTTCCATATAGCAATAATCTATATACATATATAATGTATAATAATTGAAATGTGATTGTATTTTAAAAAATACTAGTCAACTAAAACACAGCTAAGACAAGTTACTTTGCACAGACCAAAGGTCAGTTTTATGTTATTTGATATGGTAACATGAGTGCACATGAGCCATGTCATTGTAACTTCTGTATTGTTAGCCAGGCACAGATGAAAGGTCAATATAATAAAAAATAATGAATATATGTAAATGTATAATGTTATGA